ATGGCCAGAAAAGAAAAGCAGACAGTGAAACTTGCTTTGTTTAGCTTCATATTTATAATTATGCCAGTCAAAAAAATTAATACAAAATAGAATAAAGTAAATAAAAATAAGTAACTAAAAGATAAAAAAGGAAGTGTGGGTTAAATTTTTTAAATATATTGTGTTCTTTTGAAAAAGAGAAAATGTTCATCTGTCACAGGAATAAATAATATTATGGTTTCTGTTTTCAAGCCTTAACTTCTGCAAATTTGTCAATGGCTTCATCAAAAATGGATCTTTTTCGCATGTTCATGCTCAATACAAAGTCTAGCTAGATTTGTCAATTTGTCGTTGCACATAGTGGATCTTTACACAGGACTATGTCACACCACCAGGTTGGGATTTCCAGTTGTCCCCAAAGCAGGCTCAAATGACTCTTTGACACACTTACCAACAAACGTGTATAGCCCTGTGCATACAAAACGTGTATAGCCCAACAGGGGGCCGACCGTACAGCTCAAACTTCTCTGAATTAACTTCCAGGTAGAATTCCACAGAACACCATGTTTGTTACAGGATAAGTAAAATTAATGTGCTCATTTAAAGTGCACGTATGGATTTTTTAAACTCTAATATCCGCAATTGTTTGGAACTTCGACCGACAAAAGCTTTGTTTTTGGTTTTTCTCAGAAGAGTATTCCATCACCGATGTTGTTTAGAATTCCTGGTACATGGAATTAAATAAATTTTGATAAATAAAAAGCAGACTGAGTTGTAGTCAGTTTTATTACTGTTGGCCTGTGCCTGGGGCACACTCCGCCTGCTGCTCTGCGCTCTGCGGTAAAAGAGAGGGAGTAAAGAAGACTGTGATTGTATTCGGGGCTTTTAGGGGAGGTCTCTCTGACGAGGTGATATTTGAGCAGAGACCTGAGTGCAGTGAGAGAATGAGGCATGCCACTAGCTGGGGAGGAGGATTGCAGCAAACACAAAAGCTCTAAGCCAGATTGCGGCTGGTGTGTCTGAGGAACAGCAAGAAACCAGGGGACCGAAGCAGAAGAAGCGAGGGGGCGTTGGAGCTGATGAGGTCAGAGAAGCAGTGAGTCAGGGCTGGGGAAAGAACCCAGGACCGTCTGAGGCATCTGGTACCTGTTTCCATCACAGTCCTTCACACCTGGTGATGTGAGCTCCGACCTGGTGAAATTAGACTGGATTTCCAAAAACCTCACTTGAATCAAATATTTCGTACTTAATGGAACTCAGTTTCCCAGCTTAGAAAATGAGGATAACATAACCTATCTTGCAGAGCTATTGTGCTTATTAAATTAAATAAGATAATACTTGTGAAAGTGCTTTGTAATCTGTAAAGCACCGTGAAAAGGACCACTCTTGTTGTTGTTGCTATTAAGAGAAGTTGGTTAAGTGCTCAAGAACCAGGGGAGCGGAGATGTTCTCAGCTGAGCGCTCTGGATCCTGCCGCCCTCTTCCCTAACTGCTCCATCGCCTTGCTTTCCAATGCCTTTCCCACACTCTTTCCTTCAGCAGGAGGCTTTGGTGAACGCAGTCAGCCAGGCATGCTTCTCGTCAGCATGACAGGAGGTGCATAACCACCCACGGTGATAGCGCCTAACCAAGCTAAACAGTATAAGATAACCTTCATTTGCAAATCTGATGAGCGAAATTACAGGGTTCAGCTCTAATAGAGGGGGGAAATGAAGCTCAAGATCATTATTTCCACATCTAAGATTAGTAGCTGGAAAATACAGTACCTCTGTAAAATGACAGTGTCAAAGACACCCCAGTTTTGCACGACTCCAGCACCCACACAAAAGAAGAATCACTTCAGAGAATAGAAATGGAGATGCTGCTCTCCCAGAGGTCATGCCAGATGGACATATCTGAGTGTTCGCCACATACCCCACCAGTCTACCATGACATCGTTTGTTGAAACTACTGATAAAGGTCGTCGGAAAATATCTGCTAACCCAAAGGAAAATATGAGCTGTCTTTCCATTCTTTTTCTCTTTCATAGGTCAGAAGTAAGTGCTCTTTGCCTAGAGAAATACTCCCTTATATAAATCAAGTAGAGAAGATGAGGACGGAAGGAGTAAATGGGGGAGTAAGAAGTTGTCTCAGGAGAAAGTGAACACCTCCCTTACATTTCCACAGGCTGTTCACCCCTTCATCATAGTCAGTCATTTACCAGGGGTCTTGGCTTCTAATAGACCTGGGTTTGACTTGGTGTGAGACCTGGGGCAAGCTGCTTAACATTCCTAAGTCTCTGTTTCTCATTCTGTTTTCTCATTTCTACTGTTTTTCAGTAAGAGGTGATAACAAGAGAGCCTAACTAGTAAGACTGGTGAAGATTAAATGAGAAAGTCTATGTAAGCCCACCACAGTGCTGGGGATATGGTTGGTGTTCAGTAAGTGCTAGCTATTTGTATGATTATTGGGGAGAAATTACTAAAAAAGTTTTATCAGGGGGAAAAAACATAAGAATGAGGGAAAATAGTCAACTTTAAGAATTGTTCTTAGTTTCCTAGGATTTATCTAACATGGGTGCTATAATGCTTAGTCTATGTGAACTATTTAAAAAAACAAAACAGGAGTTTATTCAATACAGAGCATTTCAAAATACGCTTGGTTTAAAATTTCTTAATATATTACGATTCAGGATAATGTGAATTACTATTTAAGAAAAACATGTATGATAAAATTTAAATGACAGCATTAATACTTTTAAAGCAAACACTTCCATGTTACCCATAGAAATAATTATTCTTGGTACAGTAGAGCATTATCTGGAACGTGAGTAAATGAAGAGTTCATGCCACGTAAATAAAATTTCCAAATTACTAAAACCAAACCCTTAAACAGCAAAACTTTAAAAAGAGATTTTTAAAATGTGTTTATGTTATTGTATCTATTATTTATTATAATGTGTACATATGCATATATACAACATTTTAGATGGCCATGTTGGACAGTTTTCCTTATTCTTAGTGTTTTCTTATTGCCTTTGCTTCACTGATCTGAACACCAATTACTGCGTAATGCTGGAATAGGAATTCCCTCTGGAGCCTGTAAAGCTCACAGGATGGAAACTCACCAGCCCAAATGGCCTTGCACTGAACAATTTTTCAAAAACACTTTAGGGGAGGAAAAACTTTCCCTCAACCCTCTTAGGGTCCTTGGCTGGGCCTGAAAATTAAACTGACGCATGACAGAGGAGCCTTCATTCGGAAATGAAGACCTAAAGAGAAGGTTAAACTTCAGCGTTTTTATACTAGGTTTAATCAAGAGTAGGAAGTCATGCGGGGTTCAAGCGCTCTGCTTTGGTGGCCCAGGGTTACGTGGTTCAGACCCCGGCGCGGACATGGCACCGCTCATCAGGCCACGCTGAGGCAGCGTCCCACATGCCACAACTAGAAGAACCCACAACTAGAATATACAACTATGCACTGGGGGGCTTCAGGAAGGAGAAGGGGGGAAAAAAGGAAGATTAGCAACAGATGTTAGCTCAGGTGCCAATCTTTAAAAAAAAAAAAAAATGTTCTCTGACTATGATGGAATAAAACTAGAAATAAATAACAGAAAGATAACAGAAAAATCTACGGATGCTCGGAAATTAAACAACACACTTCTAATTAAACCATAGATGAAAGAGGCAGTCTTAAGGAGAATTAGAAAAGATTTGAAACTAAAAGGAAGAAGATTTTAAAAGAAAGATTTTAAAATAAAAATATAACATATCAGAGCCAGCCCCGATGGCCTAGTGGTTAAAGTTCGGTGTGTTCTGCTTTGGCGGCCTGGGTTCAGTTCCAGGCCACAGAGCCACACCACTCATCTGTCAGTGGCCGTGCTGGGGCAGTGGCTCACAGAGAAGAACTAGAAGGACCTGCACCTAGAATACACAACTGTGCACTGGGGCTTTAGGGAGGGAAAAAAAGAGAGGAAGATTGGCAACAGATGTTAGCTCAGGGCAAATCTTTCCCAGCAAAATAAAATACAACATATCAAAAATCATGGAATGCAGATTAAACAGTACTTAGAGGGAAATTACAGCATGAAATGCTTCTATTTAAAAAAGAAGAAAGATTTTGTATCAATAATGTAAGCTTCCTCCTTAAGAAACTAAGAAAGAGCAAAATAAACCCAAAGCAAATGAAAGGAAGAAAATAATGAAGACGAGAGCAGAAATCAATAAAATTGAAACCAGAAAAACAATAGAGAAAATCAATGAAATAAAAAGCTGACTCTGGAAAAATTAATAAAATTAATAAATCCCTATCAATATTAACCAAAAAAAAAAGAGAGAGAAGACACAAATTACCAATTACAGGAATAGAAAGAATATCACTATAGGCCCACAGACAAGAAAATGTTAATAAGGGATACTGTGCACACTCTATGTACATATATTCAACAATGTAAATGAAATGGACTGATTCCTTGAAGACCATAAACCACCAAAATTCACTCAAGATGAAACATATGTTATCTCATAACTGCTAACGAAATTGAATTCATAGTTTAAAAACTTCTGGAAAAGAAGTCTCCAGGCCTGGATGGTTTCACTGGAGAATTTTACCCAACATTTAAGGAAGAAGCAACATCATTCTACATAATCTCTTCTAGCAAGTAAAAAAGGAGGAAACATTTCTTAACTCATTTTATGAGGCCAGCATTCCACTGATACCAAAATCCACTGACAATACAATGAAAAAAAACTAAAGACCAGTATCCCCTCCAAACATAGATGCAAAAATTCTCAAAAAAATTAGCAAATTAAATCCAGCAACATATAAAGAGAATAATACACCATGATCAAGTAGTCTTCATCTCAGTAATGCAAAGCTGGTTCAATATTCAAAATCAATCAATGTAATTCACCATATTAACAGTCAATAGAAGAAAAACCACATGGTCATATCAATTGATATAGAGAAAGCATTTGACAAAATTTGACATCCATTCATGACAAAAATTTTTAGCAAACTAGGAATAGAAGGAAACTTCCTCAACCTGATAAAGGGTGTCTACAAAAACCCACAGCTAACATCACACTTAATGGAGAAAGACTGAATGTTTTCCTAAGTTCAGTAACAAGACAAGTATCGTTTTTGGGGTTGCATATTTAGGTGGTGAAACTCTAACGCAAAGCAAAGAATTGATTATTAGTCCAGCCAGGATAGTGGTTCCCTCCAGGACGGAAGGGAGAGAGGCAGCTATAATTGAGAAGGGGCACTCAGGGGTCTTCTGGATGCTGGTGATAATCTATTTCTGACCTAATGGTGGTTTCAGGGGTGTTCATGTTATGACAATTTGTTATGCTGTATACTTGTTTTAGGCACTTTCTTGTATTTGCATTGTATTTCTCAATAAAATGTTATGGAAAAAATGACTATTTAAAAAAAATTTTAAAGTTAGCTTTTTTAGAAAGAAAAATTAGCACCTTACTCCTCATAATTTCCTATATTCTTAATATTAGCAGTAACAATTAATAAATAGCTGAAATAAAGAATTGCCCTCAGGAGCTTTTATTGTAATCAAAATCATGATTTTAACGACTCAGAATGGAACGTGCTTAACTGCTGAGTTTGGTTTTCTCCTCTGCACAGTGATGGGGGCTAGGACGCTTTCCTTCTGGTTCTGGGTGGGGCCCACCGCGCAGGGCAGAATGCAGGAGCACCAGCCAGCAATCTCCCGAGTCTGTTCTCAGCTTCAATCCAAACCCCTCTGACTGAAAAACAATGTCAAAAATTGGCCTTAATTACCTAAAAGCTTTTTATATAAGTTCCTTAGAAGATTATTTATAGCAAAGCCATTTAATGTCATTAAGATAATTCCATGTGCATTTTTTTAAAAACTTATTTTAAATTCTAGTGATGGCTCAAAATGTCTTTCCTAATTATTTAAGTTTCACTTGCTTAAAATGCAGCTTAAAATAAAAATTTGGATCAAGGGGCTAATCAGAATTTCATAAAACACGCATGGATAGAAAATCGAGGGTAGGTAAAAATCCCATAACTAAATCCTAATTTACATCAGTACTATCGAGAAAATGTAAAGCTATGTAGGCAGCCTTTAGCAAAAGGGCATGTGTAATAACCTCAATTCTTCTTTTTCCAGAGTTGGAAAAAAATTATTTAAAGCTTGAATTTTTGTTAGGAGTACTCATTTACTCTAAAATTTAAAAAGATCTCACTTTAGGAGAGATCTGGAGGTTTTCTAAAATATATGATATAGCAGCCCATTCTTGTGTTTTGTTACACATGATAAAGTTTCAAATTTGTTAGTAAAATGTAGAATTCCCTTCTTTGTGATTCCTTTTCATCTTTTCTACGTCTAGAAAGTAGCTCCCCATCCAATTCTCATTTTTCCAATTAAGCTCATTCATTCACATAACAAGTATTGAACATCTAATACATGAAACACTGTTCTAGGTAGACATCAGAAAACAGACAATATTTCCCACCCCATGGAGACAAAAAACAGAATAAGTATATTACATGATAATTAGAAGGTAATAAGAGCCATGAGAAAAAACCTATAGCAAGGTTCTAGAGATCAATAGTGTCAGGACAAGGGCTGGGAGGTGGGGCTTGTTGAGATTATAAACAAGGTGATCAGAGAAGAACTCATGTGAAGAGATGCCATTTGAGGAAGCTACTTAAAGAAGGTGAGTGGGTAAGCCATGTAGAAATTTGGAGGGAGAACATCCTAGGTGAAGGGAAGAGCATGTGCAAAAGCTCTGAGGCCAGAGGATGCCTAGAGTGTTCAAGGAACAGCATAGAGTTCACTATGGCTGGAGCAGAGGGAGCAAGTGGAAGAATAATCAGAGATGCAGTCAGAGAGGTGAGGGGGATCTCGTGTGACATCATAAGGACTCTGATATTTACTCTGAATAAAATGGGAGTCATTGGAAAATTCATGATCTAACTCTGGTTTTGACAGATCGTTCTGACGGCTTTGTTGAAAATACACTGTAGGGAGACAGGGTAGATGCAGAGTGACCTGTTAAGAGGATATTACAATAATCCTGGTGAGATGTGATGGTGGCTTGGACCACAATGTAACCGTGAAAGTGGTAACTGGAGGTCAGATCTTGGATAGAAGCTGAAGGTAAGATTTTTCAGTGGAAGGATGGAGTGGTTGTCAACTGAGATGAAGAAGAATATGGGTGGAGGGGGGATGGACAGGATTAGTTCAACTTTTGACATGTTAAGTTAGATACCCATTTGACATTAAAGGACAACTTCGAGTAGTGTAATGGGTTGAACAGTGGCACCCCAAAATCGTGTCCACCCAGAACCTCAGAATGTGACTTTATGTGGAAATGGGATCTTTGCAGATACAATTTTTTAAATTAAGATGAGATCATACTGGATTAGGAAGAGCTCTATATCCAATGACTAGTGTCCTTATAAGAAGGCCAAGTGAACACACAGAGACAGACAAAGGAGAACGTAATGTGAGAATGGAGGCCGAGAGTAGAAGAGTGATGTGTGTACAGACCAAGTCATGCCAAGGATTGCCTGCAACCACCAGAAGCTATGGGAGAGACATGGAACAGCTTCTCCCTCAATGCCTCCAGAAGGAACCAACCCTGCGGACAACTTGATTTCAGACTTCTGGCCTTCTAAACTGTGAGATCATAAATTTCTGTTTTATGCCCCCTAGTTTGTGGTAATTTGATATGGTAGCCCTAAGAGAATAATATAAGTAGGCGATTGAAAATATGAGAGTGAAGTTTAGGGGAAAGATCTAGACCAAAGATATGAATTTGCGTGTTGGAATCATGTAGACAGTGTTTAGAGCCATGAGATTAAATTTGAAGAAAATTGATGCACATAGGCAAGAGAACAGCAAGTACCAAGCCCTGGGGCATCAATGTTAAGAGTTTGAGAAGAAGAGAAGGAAGCAGGTAAGGAGAATAACCGGTGAGGTGGGAGAAGAGGCAGGAGAGTAACAGCCTACAAGTCTCATGAAGAGTCTTTTTTGATGGAGAGTGGTCAGTTAAATCGAGCGAGATAAAAAATCAAAATTTCGCATTGAACTGATTAATACAATGGCCATTTGGCAAATTTCACAAAGAGTGTTTTGTTGGAGTCCTGGGAAAGAAAGTCCAATTTGGAGTGGATTCCGGGGAGTACGTGAGAAAAGGAATTGTATACAATGACTGTAGAAAAGACAAGCGGCAAAACAGTGTAATTTTGCTTTAAAAAAGAGCAGTCAAAATGGGGTTTCTGGAGGAATAAGTGAGGTCAAGAGAAGGTTGTTTGAAAACGGGAAAAATAATGGCATACTTACATGAAAAAGAGAGTGATCCAGGAAAGAGGTGAAAATGGATCTCTGTAGGAGATTCCGGGAAGGGGTGATGCCCTTGTGGAGGGGAGAAGGGATGAGATCTGGGGCTACAAGGGACTACAGGTGGTGACTGAGCACTGGAAACGTGGTGAGTCCCAATTGAGACGTGCTGTACGCACAAAAGACACACCAGATTGCATAGACTTAGAATGAGCAAACAAATGTAAAATAGCTTATGAATAATTTTTACATTGATTACATGTTGAAATAATATTTTGAGTATATTGAGTTAACAAAAAGATACAATTCAAATTCTTTTCACCTATTTCTTTTTACCTTTGGTACTAGAAAATTTTTAATTCCTCGTGTGGTTTGCATTATATTTCTATTGGACAGAGCTGCTCCAGTGCCCAAGGGAAGGAATCGGCCTTACATTGGAGCAAGAACAGTCTGTCTAAGATACTAAGAGGGAAAGCAGTGCATAGGGGTGAAATGCTGGTGGGTGAGCGGAGGAGGTGGTGGGTGTTTGAAAAAGGCTTTAGTTTTCTCAGTGAATGAAGAAGGAAGATAATCCCTAAATTGGGTTCAATTAACTGTGTAGAATTCATTTGGTGAAGAATGTAAGGTAAGAATCTAAATAGATTTTCCCCAAATAACTGACCATTTGCCCCAGAACCACTTATTAAGTAAGACTTCCTCCCCACTGATGTGTGATGGCTTGTTTTTCATAAAATAAATTCTGTGATTTCTTTCTGAGCTGTCTGCTCCATTGATCTGACAAGGCTTCCACTTGACCCATAATGGTTTAATTATTGTAGCTATTGAAGGGGTTCAGAACATGCCAGCCAAAAACATGCCATTTTGGCACATTGATTATTTTGAGCTGAAGGCACTTGAAAAACAGCAGATGCAGGACTGGCTCTCTGATCTCCCCCTTTCTACCTAAAAGCAGATCATAAAATTTCCCAAGAGAAAGGTGCCTCACTGCACCAGGAAGAGAAGAGCATCCTTATCGTGGGAGATGGGCAATCAATACCAGAACGCACGTGCACGAACAACCTGCTAAAATAAGCTTCATCTTCCGTGAGTTTTCCCCATCTGTTTCCTCATCACTTTTCCACAGCTTTCCTAACCCAAACCCCTTTGTCTTGTCATTTCTTCAAAACTTCTCTTTTCTTTGTTAAAAAAAGTATATAAGCTCTCTGTCCTAAATGCTTCTTTGGGTCTTCATTTTCCTTATGAGGACTCCAGTGTGTCGATAAAAATAGTACATAAAATTTGTATGTTTTTCTCCTGTTAACCTGTTTTATGTCAGTTTAATTCTTAGACCCAGACTCAGAACCTGAGAGGGTAGAGGGAAGTTTTTCCTCCCCGCGCTATATCACATATTCTGAGTGTTAGGACCACCCCACCCTCCTTTCCCTTTCACAAATATTCTTCAGTATGCTCACTTATTATGATTCCAGATGAAATGTTAAGATATTTTGCCAAGTTCAGAAAACTGTAATGTTCAGATTTTGCCTGGAAATACTCTGAGTATGTAAGTTGATCTGGAGAAAAGTAACATCTCTACAATATCCTGGTTTTCCATTCAATATCTTAGCACATTTTTCAAATATTTAAAGAAATTTTCTCTCTCTGCAATTTTATCATTTTCCTCCCACAGGTGCCACATATTTCTTTTTCTCTCTTGGGATTTCGGATTTGGTATTCCAAATGTAATACTTTTTTTGCATTATAGTTTCTAATTGATACGTTGTGGAAAGCTCTGGATGTATGCATATGAAGCTTATATTTATTCTCTACCACTTGTCAAGAACCTGCTATGTACCAGGCCACGTGCAGGTGCTAATCTTCACAGCCACTGTGAGGGAATTGAAATTAATTAATTTATTATTTTAATAGTTTTTCAGTTAATTCCCTGAAGTTTTCTCTATATGCAATTATATCATCTACACAAAATAATATCCCTATCTCTATCTTTTTAATAATTACATCTTTTATTTCCTGTCTTTGGCTTCTTTCAGGGCAAACTGCACGTCATTTAAACCTCTTTTGATGACTCAGGCACGTCATTACCAAGACGAGCAGCGCTAATAAACTATCTTGGGCTGTTTGGCCTCCCGGTGAAACTGCTGCCTCTGCTGTTGCTTTCTTGGGTCTCACATCTGTTTATTAGGCTCTCGCTACCTGACCTCACCTATTCTGGAGCCTCTAATCTGATAAATAAGAAACTGCTAAATCGTAGGCTTCATTTTAGACTCATTTCCAGTGTGTGTGGTTGGAAGTTTCCATTGGAAATGGTGTCCCTGACAGCTGTTTTGTGTTCAGAGACATTTTCCTGCTCAGTCTAAACAGTTGAGGTTACTAAAAGCCTACCCTCTGGACAAGGGAACGCTCTTGAATGGCTAAGTTTTATTAAAAATTCGCCAGCATGCAAGTTAGGAGATGTGGGTTCCCAGTTCCACTAACTTACAATCGTCTGAGTCTCGTCTATAAAATGCCTAGGAGTAGAATAATATTAATATTACCCATTTCTATAATTATCATGTCACAGGTTTCTAAACTTTTTCAGACTCGTTATTCCATCTTCTCCTTCTAAAAACCTTTAGAAGGGATCAAGCCAGGGACTGTCATTCCCATTTTACAGATGGGAAAACTGCAGCCAAGGAGGTTGTGTTGTGCAGATGCACAAATTGTTTCTAGAGGTTGAGTCTGAGCTAGAACCTTGGTCTGGTGTACTCTAGTTCACTGCTCTTTCCTCTACTCTGTGCTTTTTTTATGCACGGCTGCCTTAAAATCCATCAAAGCATGTTCCCTTAGTACTTTTAGTCAGCTGGTCATCCTACTGATGATAGATTTTGTCCAGCTTGTGAGGAGATATGGAGAGCATTGTCCCCTGTCACCCACCACCAGCACCCTAAACTCAGGTAATCCCGATCTTCAGTGTACATCCTCCCCTAAGAGGAAACTAGCTCCTCATCCCCAGGGCCTGGGGTCTGGTTTTACTGGAAAGGTGCATGTGAGGAGTTTAGGGCCAATTGCAAAGTTAAAGGGCACAGTCCCCAAGGCTGTCCTCACTTCTGATCCAACTGCAAGTTCAAGGGGTTCCCAAAACCACACCCTGGTTTGGTATTCTCTTGAAAGACTCACAGAACTCACTGAAAGCTGAGATCTTCACAGTTATGGTTTACTACAGGGAAAGGATACAGTCAAAGGAAGAGACATGTGGGCAGAGTCCAGGAGGGTTCCAAAGGCAGGGTTTCTAGAATCTTCTCCCTGGAGATCCAGGACGTGTATGTGACATCAGTGTGTGACATTCATGTGTGACCATATGCACAGAGTATTGCCAACCAGGGAAGCTCACCCAAGCCTTGGTGTTTGGCTTTTACTGGGGCTCCATTACACAGGCATGATTGATTGATTGCCCACATGGTTGATCTCAGTCTCCAGGCCGCTGATCCAGGGAAACCCAAAACCTGGGCCCTAAGTTGCGTTGTTGACTTTCTGGCGTGGACAGCCCCCACCTTAAATCACACTGTTAGAGTATCCACTGCTCCCAGGAGAAGAAAGACACTAGAGATTATCTCTCAGCAGCCGATGACAGAGGTCAGACCTCTTTTGATGGAGGTTCATTCTTCACTTCACAGTGCAGCTGACATTTTTTGCTTCCTGCGTAGTTAGGAAGAAAGCTCATGAGCTTCAGCTCTGGGGATCGGACTTTTTGAAGGGAGAGTTTGCTTTGGCTGTGCCTGAAAGACACTGCTCTTCAGTTCTCCAAGGGAAAATGAACTCACCCTGCGTTGGGAAACAGCCCTTAACCAATCAGTAGCACAAACAGAATACTGTGGGAGGCCTCGATTCTCTCATCAGCAACCTGAATCATGCTGAGGAAATTGCCCTTAATGTGTCATCCAAATTTTATGTAGACCCAAATGTTTCATTTAAATGTAAAACAAAGATAACAGAGCGCATACTAGTGAAATGTGCCCTTCTTCCAATCACACTGCTCTTTTTCAAGCACTCCAAATTCAAACCCTGCTGAGAAGTTACTCTTCATCACCTTCCCAGTTAGCAAAACTCCCGTCAGAGGAGGCCAACTGTTTTTGAAATGTTTCTTCAGTCCATTTCAGATACAAAGTCAGTGAGTCAGTGACCGAGACCCTACTCGGCCACAGGGCCTCGTCTAGCATGGTGGAGCATGCAGAGGCCAATCAACGATGCATCCTGCCCTCTGGGCTCTTGACAGTCTAGAAGGGCAAGGAAACACACACACATAACCCAAGGGTGGAGGGAGAGATGGTGCCACCCAGACTTACAGGGAAAGGAAATGTGAAGTTTCTCCCTCAGAGCCTGGGACACAGGCCCATGCCTTGTCTTTTCCAAAGCTGAGGAGCCTTTCTCTATGACCTACCCTTGGAACATCTATTTTCCTTTGAAATCAAGCCTCTTTTTGGAAATTCCATCCAGAAAGTCCAGTAGGGAGAAATTCTATTCATTGGAATGCATTTCCACCAGGGGTCGGGGCTGCTCAGCCATCCCTTTCCTCTGGACCTCTTACCGTGTCAGCAACGCCTGTGGAGGCAGCTAAGTGCAGGAATGCAACAGGACTAGGGTTTGAAGGAAGCCCTGGAGCCCTCTCAGTGGAGCTGCCTCAGAAATGTGAGCTTTGGAGCATCCTGAGAGACAGAGGACAACACAGAGTACCAATCAGTTAGCAAGGATGCCCCCTTCTCTGTTGGCTTAATGGATGATAAAATTAAGTTCAAGGATAGACAGTGAATTGTTTTATTTGTTAAATTCCTCACTGGAATTTGCATACTAGATGAGCTTTTTAAAAAACCAAGAAATGGTTTCATTTTTCTAGTACTAGAACATGTGGTTAGGGTCGGAGTGGGGAGAGCAGTGAGGAGCTACCCCTAATGTTAAAAACAAAAGCCCCAGAAGCCCAGTCTTAGTCCATATGCAAATTGTGAGAAGTCACTTAGCTGCTATCTCAGTTTTCCCTTCTGTAATAAGCAGCCCATAGCCCAGGCCACCCACACATTAACCGTGTACACGGCCATGTCACATTTCCAGTACCGTAATTTCCACTTGGGCCAGTCTTTGTTCTTAAATGGCTGACAGCACATTTCCTTCCCATGGCCCCAGTTAGCTTACAAGGCTGAGCCCACCTGCATGCTCAGCCTCATAAACTGATCCGGTCCTATGAGCCAACCTCGTTTCTCTCTATCCCCCTGTAGAAGGCATTCTCACCTATGTCAATGCCTTCCAGCGAAGACCAGCAAGAACACCCCTGCACAAGCTGGATTTATTACTCACAGCAAGGGGAGAACACACCCCATAGGGAGCCAGGAAGTGTCTCCGTGGCTACTGGACTTACAGGACTTAGGCTTGTGTTTGCTGATTTGGGGAGCATTTAAGGAAGCCAGGCTTTGCTCTGGATTGGATGCTCTCGGGAAGCTGGATAATTCTGATCGGCACCTTAATAAATGTCAGGTATAGGGAAGGTAGACTAAAGGTGTAATTGGTAAAGAAGCCGCCGTCCCTCATAGTAGCTAGGGTAGAGGATGTTTGGTATCGTGGTGTGAACAAGGTTCATGTTTTGTCTATGTTTGGACAGGATTACAGAGGGATCTTGTATTTATCTTGATCCATCATGATCACAGTATGGCCTTGTCTGGGGTTCTCTGTAATAATAAATGTTCTCTGAAATTGTTTTCCTTCAATGAGAGAACACCAAAGCCTAGCTCCTGGATGTCAAGGACTACTTTTTTGCTTCTCAGTCCGGAGGGTCTCCTTTCTGTCTTCTGACCCCATCAGTTCATGCCCCTCCTCTGAACTGGGTTTAGAGGTGAGACAAGAGAGGCAAGAAGTGCACAAAATGGGGGAGGCACTCACTCTCAGGAACCAGCCGTGCCCGTGCACGGCCAAGACAGGAAGTGCTTCCTTCACTTTCATGTCTGACTCCCCTTGATTGCCTCTCCTCTGTCCTGTCCTGCCTAATCTTCTTCGTTTCTTCTTCTCCCACCCTAAATCCCACCCAAACCAGGTACAGACATAACAAGACCAGTGATGAGGTT